AGGTAGCATTCTACATGCTCCACTTCAGGGGAATTGCCCATGGAAGCAGTTTTCAGTAGGGACGCATGTAGACCTTTCTTTCACAGGGGTGTTAGCCTTGATGTTTCTGAAGAAACAATCAGGGCACTTTCACTTAACTCAGAGAAGCTACAGTTGAGTGTTCCAACAGATGAGTCTTATGCAACAGCTCCCACCCCCACCTGGATAAATATGTGGCATCACTAACAAATAAAGTCTTTGCTTTGCTTCTTTCTTTACCCATATGACTGAATGCAAACATACACCCTTGTTTATGTAGGCTTATGGTAGACAGGAAGCTGTTGCCAGTCAGCTGTTATGGTGGCACTGTAAAAGCTAAATGGAATATAAGAGCAATTTAATTTCCTCTTAGGAATTGACTTTCTTTCTTAACAACATTGGTAGCTGTTGAAGCATGGAAATGGGGAAGATCAATAAACCACTGCTGTTTTGCAGTCTGGAAAATAATTACATTAAAGGGTAGAAGAGGAATTTTCTTTTGATGCTGTTGTTTAACCCTCACATTGCTAAAATGGTATATATCTTTAGAGGAATGAAAATGCAGTCAGAAAAATTCCATGTCTTACCTTACCTGCTGTATCTAAAAGCATTAAATTCATGAGTGAAAGTCTCCAGAAACGTCAGCCAACTTCACTCATTTTAAAAGCAGCCTGCTATAAAATTGGATCCATAAAGGAAAATTCTTCAGAGCTGAACTGGTTGTCATTATTTTGAAATCATCACGCTGCAATATAAACCACACAGTGATGTTTTAAATAAAACAATAAAAATTAACATGAAAAGTCAGCTCATCCCACAGCACTAGGGGTATCCCCAGGGAGGAGTTCAAAAGAGTCATGATGGGGGCCACAACTATGTGATCGAAACCCCACCCTTTTGTGGGGGTGTTAGGGTGTTAGGGTGTCCATCAAAAAGAGCCAAGGCTTTGATTGCATGGTTGGGTCACCATCTTGACTTTTTGACCTTCTTGTGGACACTCCTGCACAGCACAGAGTATACACTACTGTTGGATAGGTTTCCACATCATGCCAGGATGTAATGTGATTTGTTTCATTCTGACTTAGATAGTGTGGTTTCTCAAACACAATTAATGGCTTAGCATTATTTGTGAATTCAACCACTTTGACTTATTCAACACATCATGGTTTCAATATACTATGAGTTAGCAAAATATGTGATTATATTTCAGAACAGCTAAAAAACATACTGAGTGAAACTGTTCTTCTTATATAGAAGCAAGAAGGAAAAATCCTGCAGACAGTGGAGACAAAGTAAGGAACAAACACTGGGATTGCTCACTCAAATGACTCCTCCTTTCTCCTGATCTTGTCTCCTTTCTTCTCATTCTGGTGTAAAGGTTTGACCAAGAGGGCAGCTGCTGAGGGGCAGGGATGCAAGGGAGGGAAGAGCAGAGAAAAAGCTGGCTCTTCTCTTTATCAGGTGGCTGAATGCTGCATTTCTTTGACTTCTATCTATATCAGGAGCATTCGTCCTCTTGTTTACTGTGCCATTGACTTGGTGGAAAAAAATGAATTATACCGATATATAAAAGGTGGAGAGAAATGTGTGTGTGTATGAGAAATAAATAAATAAATAAATCAAATAAAACATTTTGCCCCTTAAAGACTCTTAAACAGGCCCTGGCCCAGATTGCTTCTTAAGTTTCATGCTGCTGTGGTCGAGATCCTGTATTTAATGTACAGATCTCAGTTGCTGAATTCTCTATGAGGAGAAGACAAGGCCTTGCTGGGTTGTGACCTAGTGCATTGCTGCATGACCAGCATGACAGAAGTCAATGTACCTTGTTTTTTACAGTGTGGAGGAAGGACAAAGAGAAGAAAAGCTGGATTGTGTTATTCGGCATTTGTTCTTGTTACAAGGGTGTATGTCAGTTGATGAAACTGGACTTTGATCTATGGAAAGGGCATTCAAATTATCAGAGTTTATGTTGTAGTGACTGAGAATTATTGATTTAATTATCTGGCATTTCCCAAGCTGCCCAATTTTATTTCTATTGGCCTAAATATTCTTGGTTTGTAATCTAGCACTAAGGAGGCCAGTACTGTGCTCTGATGAGACACAGCATTTTCCCCTATCGAGTCATTTTTTATTACAAGAAGAGTTAACTTGAGCAAACAACGGAGGATGCTTTCCAGTCTAATTTATATAACTCATATTTCATGGAGTAGCTACCAAAGGACGTCATTATACCCTGTTGGCGTTCTGGAGGGCCATAAAGACCTGGCTGTTCTCCCAAGCCTTGTGGAGCCCCCTCCACTGGATGGCAGATGGGAGGATGATTTGGAGTGGCTGCCAGGTTTGGCATCTTGTTCTTTTTCCTTTTCTTCTTCTAGTTTGGTTTTGTGGTTTGTTGCTTCTTACTATATTGTTTTTATATTGTCCGGTGTATTGTAAGCTGCCCAGTGTTGTTTGGAATTGAACAGCATCAAACCGAATCAAATCAAATCAATAATAAAACAAATCATTACAAAAATACTTGATCAAGTGACTATCTGTAGGAAATATTATTTCATTCTCTTGCACAGCATCAGTTACTGGTAGGGTTCATGTGGTTAATGGTTGTAACTGGAGTCATGTCTTTAAAGCAGTGTTGTTCAAACTTGGCCACTTTAAGATGAGTGGACTTCAACTCCCAGAAT